AGACATATGGGGAGATGAGACATGAAAAATTGCACGCCGTTGTGGCGCGAAGCACATTTCCAAGTCAAAATGCGCAAAACACCAAGAGGATCGGACCACTTTTGGCGCTTCAGATGTCGAAAAAGTGCACGCCGTTGTGGCGCGAAGCACATCCCCAAGTCAAAATGTACAAAACACACCAGGGTCTGACCACTTTTGGAAGTTGCGATGTCGAAAAAGTGCACACCGTTGTGGCGCGAAGCACATGTCCAAGTCAAAATGTAGAAAACACACCAGGTGCGGACCACTTTTGGCACTTAAGATGTCGAAAAAGTGCACGCCGTTGTGGCGCGAAGCACATTTCCAAGTCAAAATGTTAAAAACACTAGGGGTTCGGACCTCTTTTGGAGGCTCAGAGGTCGAGTTTCGAAAAAGTGCACGCCGTTGTGGCACGAAGCACATTTCGAAGTCAAAATGTGCAAAACACCAGGGGTTCGAACCACTTTTGGAGGCTCAGAGGTCGAGTTTCGAAAAGTGCACGCCGCTGTGGCGCGAAGCACATTTCGAAGTCAAAATGTACAAACCACACCATGTTCGGACCACTTTTGGAGGCTGAGATGTCGAGTTTCGAAAAAGTGCACGCCGTTGTGGCGCGAAGCAGATTTGGAAGTTAACATGTTAAAAACACTAGGGTTTCGGACCACTTTTGGCGGTTCAGATATTGCTTCGCTTAACTCGACTACACTACATGACACTACACTTTGCTGCACTACACTACATTACACTACATTACATTACACTACACTTCACAACACTACAGGTTACAACTACAACTACACAACTACAGTCCACTACAGTCCACTACGCTAAATTACACTGCACTACACTCTCTACACTACACTTCACTACATTAAACTACACTACACTCCACTACACTACAAATACAACTACACCTACCCAACTACACTCCACTACACTCCACTACACAACATTAAACTACACTACACTACCTTACACTACACTACACTCCACAACACTACAACTAAAACTACACAACTACACTCCACTACACTACACTACCTTACACTACACTACATTACACTACACTAGACTCCACTACACTACACTTCATTACACTACACTACACTACCTGCCGCTACACTTCACGACACTACTCTACACTACACTCCACTACCATCTACAACTACAACTACACTCCACTACATTACACTACATTACACTACACTACATTACACTGAATGACACTGCACAAAAGATAGACAGGTAGACAGCTAGACAGATAGATAGATAAGATAGATAGATAGATAGATAGATAGATAGGTAGATAGATAAGATAGATAAGATAGATAGATAGATAGATAGATTGATTGATAGATAGATAGATAGATAGATAGATAGATAGATAGATTGATAGATATGATAGATATGATAGATATGATAGATATGATAGATATGATAGATATGATAGATATGATAGATATGATAGATAGGATAGATAGGATAGATATGATAGATAGGATAGATAGGATAGATAGGATAGATAGGATAGATAGGATAGATAGGATAGATAGGATAGATAGGATAGATAGGATAGATAGGATAGATAGGATAGATAGGATAGATAGGATAGATAGGATAGATAGGATCGATAGGATAGATAGGATAGATAGGATAGATAGGATAGATAGGATAGATAGGATAGATAGGATAGATAGGATAGATAGGATAGATAGGATAGATAGGATAGATAGGATAGATAGGATAGATAGGATAGATAGGATAGATAGGATAGATAGGATCGATAGGATCGATAGGATAGATAGGATAGATAGGATAGATAGATAGATAGAGGGATAGAGGGATAGATCGATAGAGGGATAGAGGGATAGATCGATAGATCGATAGATCGATAGATCGATAGATCGATAGATAGATAGATAGATAGAGGGAGAAATAGATGGATAGATAGAGGGAGAAATAGATGGATAGATGGATAGATGGATAGATGGATAGATGGATAGATGGATAGATGGATAGATGGATAGATGGATAGATGGATAGATAGATAGATAGATAGACAGATAGATAGATAGATAGATTGATATGATAGATAGATAGATAGACAGGTAGACAAGAGTGAGAGAGATCAATCGCCTTTCAGTCCAGCAGTGGCTTCGCTCTGCCATCTCTGATTCACAACAACCAATCTCTCCTATAGGTTTCCTATTTTTGAAACTTCCGCCACCGCCTTGTGCGGTACTACTGGTATATCATGTGCGATTTTTGAGACTACTGCAACGCAGTCCGTCGCAACGTTCTTGCTACGACATTGTTCATCGCGGTTGTTAGGGTGAACGAAACAAAGTTCTTGAGCAATCTGACATTGTCGAGTTTCAGTGCGGGTCTTGACTTCGGTTGGGGTGGGGATGTATGCAAACGTGGTGGATGAAAGTGCATGTGCGGCTGTTGGCGTTTCCTTGTAGTCCGCCTATGTTGCAAACCCGGCTTTAGAGGCGGACCTGGGGGGAATCGAAGGGTGGGGGGGGTGGTCTGACCACTTTTGGAAGTTGCGATGTCGAAAAAGTGCACACCGTTGTGGCGCGAAGCACATGTCCAAGTCAAAATGTAGAAAACACACCAAGTGCGGACCACTTTTGGCACTTAAGATGTCGAAAAAGTGCACGCCGTTGTGGCGCGAAGCAGATTTGGAAGTTAACATGTTAAAAACACTAGGGTTTCGGACCACTTTTGGAGGCTCAGAGGTCGAGTTTCGAAAAAGTGCACGCCGTTGTGGCACGAAGCACATTTCGAAGTCAAAATGAGCAAAACACCAGGGGTTCGAACCACTTTTGGAGGCTCAGAGGTCGAGTTTCGAAAAAGTGCACGCCGCTGTGGCGCGAAGCACATTTCGAAGTCAAAATGTACAAACCACACCATGTTCGGACCACTTTTGGAGGCTCAGAGGTCGAGTTTCGAAAAAGTGCACGCCGTTGTGGCGCGAAGCAGATTTGGAAGTTAACATGTTAAAAACACTAGGGTTTCGGACCACTTTTGGCGGTTCAGATGTTGCTTCGCTTAACTCGACTACACTACATGACACTACACTTTGCTGCACTACACTACATTACACTACATTACATTACACTACACTTCACAACACTACAGGTTACAACTACAACTACACAACTACAGTCCACTACAGTCCACTACAGTCCACTACACTAAATTACACTGCACTACACTCTCTACACTACATTTCACTACATTACACTACACTACACTCCACTACACTGCAAATACAACTACACCTACCCAACTACACTCCACTACACTCCACTACACAACATTAAACTACACTACACTACCTTACACTACACTACACTCCACAACACTTCAACTAAAACTACACAACTACACTCCACTACACTACACTACCTTACACTACACTACATTACACTACACTAGACTCCACTACACTACACTACACTACACTACACTACCTGCCGCTACACTTCACGACACTACTCTACACTACACTCCACTACCACCTACAACTACAACTACACTCCACTACATTACATTACACTACATTACACTGAATGACACTGCACAAAAGATAGACAGGTAGACAGGTAGACAGATAGATAGATAAGATAGATAGATAGATAGATAGATAGATGATAGATAGATAGATAGATAGATGATGGATGGATGGATAGATAGATAGATAGATATGATAGATAAGATAGATATGATAGATATGATAGATAGATAGATAGATAGATAGATAGATAGATAGATAGGATATATAGATATATAGATATATAGATATATAGATATATAGATATGATAGATATGATAGATATGATAGATATGATAGATATGATAGATAGGATAGATAGGATAGATAGGATAGATAGGATAGATAGGATAGATAGGATAGATAGGATAGATAGGATAGATAGGATAGATTGATAGATAGGATAGATAGGATAGATAGGATAGATAGGATAGATAGGATAGATAGGATAGATAGGATAGATAAGATAGATAGATAGATAGATAGATAGGATAGATAGGATAGATAGGATAGATAGGATAGATAGGATAGATAGGATAGATAGAGATAGATAGATAGGATAGATAGATAGAGATAGATGATAGATAGAGATGGATAGATGGATAGATGGATAGATGGATAGATGGATAGATGGATAGATCGATAGATCGATAGATCGATAGATCGATAGATCGATAGATCGATAGATAGATAGATAGATAGATGGAGAAATAGATGGATAGATGGATAGATGGATAGATGGATAGATGGATAGATGGATGGATAGATAGATAGATAGATAGATAGATATAGATAGATAGATAGACAGGTAGACAAGAGTGAGAGAGATCAATCGCCTTTCAGTCCAGCAGTGGCTTCGCTCTGCCATCTCTGATTCACAACAACCAATCTCTCCTATAGGTTTCCTATTTTTGAAACTTCCGCCACCGCCTTGTGCGGTACTACTGGTATATCATGTACGATTTTTGAGACTACTGCAACGCAGTCCGTCGCAACGTTCTTGCTACGACATTGTTCATCGCGGTTGTTAGGGTGAACGAAACAAAGTTCTTGAGCAATCTGACATTGTCGAGTTTCAGTGCGGGTCTTGACTTCGGTTGGGGTGGGGATGTATGTAAACGTGGTGGATGAAAGTGCATGTGCGGCTGTTGGCGTTTCCTTGTAGTCCGCCTATGTTGCAAACCCGGCTTTAGAGGCGGACCTGGGGGGAATCGAAGTAAGGCGGACGGAGACATAACCGGCCCAAACTCTTGCACTTGCACCGCTCGCCCCCCAATACTTGCTACGCAAGGGGGAACTCAGGTAGCTCACCGCTACCTTTCGAGACCTGACCCCCATCTTCCCCTTCTCCCCCATTCTTCTTTCCTCCTTCTTCCTCAATCTCAGCCTCACCTCCATCCGGCTCTGGCCGGGCATCCGGAGAGAGCGCCCCCTCAGCACACTCCTCAGCCGAGAGATGCTCGATCTCCGGGAAGAAAGGTACATCTTCAGAGTCCGAAGGTCTTCTGAATGGAGCCTCAGGTGATGGCTCCTCGGCATCCTTCTCGATGATTTGAATGAAGTCCCAAGGCGTTGGACAAAGCTTCTGACCTTCCTCGGAAATGGGAACTGTGAAGACGCCCACAAGAGCATACTTCGCCTTAGAGATCAGCTGATCATTTCCTTGTTGGAAGGGACCGCAAACATCGACGGACAAGGTGTAGGTGTCAGGATTGTGAATCTTGAGATGAGGTTTGTGTCTACCTCCCCCAACCTGACAATCAAAGCATTCAGAAGAAAACGGCTGATGGTCATTGGCTCGGTGTTGTTGCCACTGGGCCTCAGAGAGCTTCTTGACAAGAGGCACCTTGAACTCTGCGACCACCGCCTCCAGGATTTTGAGCTTTAACTGCGGGGCCCAAGCTGCCCACCTTCTTGAACGCTGGATGCGCTGCTCAATGGTAGCACCATCATCTTGGACACCAGTGCCAGGGCCACGGACACCGTGTAATTCTCGAAGAAGTCCAAGATTTGTGCCTAAGCGCGTCGGCTTCTTGGTCTCATGGCCAAAGGGACCCTGATCAAAAGACACTTCAAAGAGGTTGTACTTCGACTTCAAGGAACTCCATTCGGGCCAAGAGAAAAAAGAAGGATATTCAACTGGATCATCATCCTTCTTGTAGGTTTCCGGGTCTTCCGGTGACTCCTTGAGAAAACCAACCTTGGCATCACGACTGTCCTGAGCAAGGGCATAGAGCCAGACATACCTCAGCCACAAAACAGTGTCTTGCAGAACGCTTTCGTGGAGATCCGAAGAGAGATCCTTGAGTCCAAATCTTTCTGGCCCATGACGGGTTCGAACAGGAGGAGGACCTGGAGAACGAAAACGCAACTTGCTAACAGTGCGGCAAGGAGGTCCGCCAAGAAGAGCTTCAACACGACCAGATTCACAAAGGTCCATAAGAAAATGATACGTGGTGTCACGCAACAAATCGTGTCCAGGATCAATGCACTTGTCAACACACAGTGCAGTCAAACCATGTGGTGCCAAACCCTCCTGCCAAAACTTGGGATCTCCTCCACTAAAGAGATGAAGCACTAACGCTGGCGACGATTGCAAACGCTTTCTCCATCGTCTATTCCAAGGAACGCTGTCACCAGACCACTTCTTCCTTGGTGGAATCTGCACCAAGATCTCATCAGGCACCTCAGGGAAAAGCCTCTTCAAACCCTGAAGCCATCGCAGCAAATCACTGTCAAAGCCATTGACATCTTCACCTCGAAGGACCTTCAAACGTCGTTCAGACTCCAGCATATAGACCTCAAGCTCCGCAATCAACTCAAGAGCGATGGACTCATCTACCGTCGGACAATCACCTTCAAGTTGAGTGTCAATCACTACACCGGATGGTGATTTCAAAGTGAAGCCATCCACATCCCATGACACGGAGTAGCCTAAGAGCATCAACTTGCCAAGAGGCACAATCGTCTGGGTGGCCTCTTCAGAGATGAGAACTTCAGAGCCCGGAAGCTGACGAAGAACAACTTCTCCAGCAGCCAACTCCACACGGACAGGCACTGCTGAGTCGAACTCTTCCTTAGAGACCGCAGTTCGAAGAGCATGAGTTGCTCCTCCATCGAGCAACGCACGACCACATCGATCCGCAGGCAACGAACTCAACTTCACAGCCTTCAAAGACGGCCTCATAGACCGAAGCAAGTGAGTAGCCTCTACTAGAAGACCAGCAACTTGATCCTGGGAGGATGCCTCATGAGACGACGCAGGAGCATTCGAGGTCGTGGCCTCCTCAATCTTGGGAGCAGCATCCTGAGCGCCAGAATCTTCTTTGGCCTGGGTAGATCCACCCTCGGCCTTCTTGACAGCAGGCTTTTTCTGTTTCTTAACACTGGGTTTTTGGGTTCCGTTGTCCTTCAAAGCTGAATCCTTTGTTTGTTGATCAGCAACAGGACAATTCTCACGTCGATGTTGGTTTGACCCACAGTTCCAGCAACGACCATATTTGTTCACATTGCCCCAAACATGTTGAAACGTACATTGTTTACCCTTCTTACATCCTCCATCACTGACAAAAAAGTGACACGCTTTGGCCCCGCTTTGATCATCCTTCGACCCCACCTTTGGTGCTGGATATGGAGCCGGATCTTGATCAGATGAAAGAGCTTTCACCTTGACTCCCTCAATGGGCAAGGTGGCGCCACCATGGAAAAGAGACTCTGCTTCAGCCATCGTCGTATCCGCAAAAGACAAAACCGTGGGCAAAGAAGGGCATGTATCCACTTGTAATTGGGCACGGGCTGAACTCAAACGAAAACCAGTCTGAGGTGACCCTTTTGTGAGGACATTGGCCAATCGATCTAAAGCTGACATCAACAAAGTGGCATCAGGGGGATTGATTCCCAACTCAGAAACCCGAACAAGCCACCTTCTCCAAGACCTGAGGCTACTGACCACACCAGCCACATTGGATGGAGCTTTGATCTCCACCAGTTGCTTCAGCAGTGTAGTACGTTCAGCCAAACCGCCAGGCTGATACCGAGTCAGGACCCGAAAGATGATCTGAATGGAACCAATCGAACGATTCGAGATGATTTCAGAACGGAGAGATTCAGGAATGGCCTTCAACAAAATGGTTTGGGCCCTTTGTTCAACACGAGCAAACGGAGACCTAAGAAATGCTGGTGGAGTGACAGGATTGATCCTCAGTCTTGTCAATGGATCACTGTTGAGCCATGTCTGGTATGAATCACCCGCCACAGTCAGCACCGCATCCCACCAAGTCGCCGAAGAAGAACTCAGATCCTTCATCAAAGGAGTAATTGAAGTCAGCCAATCACCCGCCACCAAAGGACCAATCTCAGACTCCCCCAAATCAGTCAGACATGGCAGGTCAACCGTGCGGATGGACTCCTGCTGAGACAAGAGGGTTGCAACCCAAGATGGCACTTCTCCGGCCCCACCACCTCCAAAACCTCCTGGCCATCCTGGTCCCCCTTGCCCCCCAGAAGCACCACCGACGAACACGGAGCCGCCATGTCTGGGAGGATCATCACCACCTCCACCGGGTGCATTCGCATGGGACTGAGAGGAATTTCCAGAACGATCAGGTCCAGATGGTGGACGGCCACCGCTGCCCTCCATTGCATCACCATTACCTCCTCGGACTTCAGAGCCTTGAGGAACACCAGGGCCTTCAGCAGCTTCAGCACCTCGTTGGGCTGTAAGACCTCCAGGAATTTCAGAGCCTTGTTGAACAGTAGGACTACCAAGAACTTCAGGACCACGTGAAACAATTGGACCTCCAAGGGGACATGGACCTCGTTGGGCTGTGGAACCTCCAAGAGCGATAGGACCCTCATGAACATTAGAGCCTCCATGATGAACAGAAGCAACATGCATGCTACGACTCAAGATCGATTGAAGAACTGCTCCACCAGTGCTCAAAGCGCTAGATCCGTGTGCCATGCCAAGACCCAAAGCTGCCAAAACACCAGTTGAGCCAGAATTCATAGGAGCCCCGAATCCAAGAGCACCACGAGAATCTGACACGCCAGCAAAAGATCCAGCCAAGTTCCTGGGTCCTACATTGACAGGAGAAACCAACATCCTCAGGGCATCAAGTTCCTGACGAAGTCTAACATTTTCATTTGCTAAATGGCCAACAACATTCATCCGTTGGTCATCATTGCCTAGAGCCATCCTAGGAGGGGTATTCTCCATTGAACGACCTCCATACTCAAAAGGTACCATGGTTGATCCCATTCCGCCACTCGCACCTCCATCCTCCAGCGCTGGCAATCCAGTAGGTCTCATTGCCCTCAGAGCCAATTCATCCTTGATCCTGTCAGACCAAAAGACATTCACCTCCTCCATGGAAGCTGTCTGAGCTGGCGGTCCAAGGGACACAGGCGAACCACTGGGCAATGGCCATGGTTGAACGGCAAGGGAATCATCAGGAACAGTACGCATTGACGAGTCGCTCATGGTTTATTGGGTTGGGCTCATAACCCTCAGCAAATCAAACGCAAATCTCACCTGTTTTCTCGGGCAAAAAAGGCTTGATGTAAGCCATATCAATCCAAGCTGGCTCAAACGTCTATGTTGCACTTCTCAGATTTGTGCGTGTCCATTCAGATGCAGGCAATAATGATGGAAGTTGGTCGCTGGGGTAGCTATCCCAATAGTCCAGGGGTCGGCGGCAGAGGGCGTAGCCCTTTAAATATTATATTATATTTTATTATATGTAAGAGTGATCATGCAGGGACAGGCAGTGTTTAAGTATGAGCAAACAGTGATCTCTTCTCGAAATAATATGAAATAATTACAATGTCATGGTATGTCCATGCCTTCAGAATCCTTTGCACATTTGGATGATGTTTTTGCCGCTTCAATCTCAACAGAAATGCACACAGCAACACACAGCGCAGCCTCCCGTCATCTCCTTGGAGTAGCAGCTCTGCCAAAGGCAGCGAAGAGATCTCTCTTCCTCTCGGAGCCGATCCAGCTCATCGCTGGCAGCCTCCGGTTGGGCCATCTGCGGAGGGAATCTCATGTCCAACAAGAACGGGAATGCGGAGAATGCAGAAATCCACCAACCAACTATCATAGTTGGTGGTTTGAACCCATTGCAATAAATATTACAGCAGAGTCAATTTGGTTCATCATACTGGCCCATGCGGGTTTGGAAAATGCAAAGATGTAGTACAATTAGCATATAGCATTATAGCATATTATATTATTAAGACTTGGATCTTTAAGATTCAGCCTTTAAGTAGTATAGGTAGAAGACACCCACGAATACAAGAGCTGTCTGCAAAACAGGACTCAACACAGCGATGTCAAAACGTGCCATTTGTTTGGCTGACCTCTGCAAGGTGGCGCATGGGTGGCCACAGCTCAGTGTCAACACGGGGATCCTCAGCATTGACACTGAACGGCACGTGGTCAAGTGTCTTACCTCTGAAGAGTATGCTTTTCTTGTCTCACTATGTGTCAGTATCATATTTGAGGTAAATATTTGAGTATGATCATAGTATCATTAATATTTAATTAATAGCTAATATTTGATCATTTTTTTCATATTTGACTATGACATACTATGACATATATGACATATCATGAGATGACATGAAATGCTGCGATTCCACCAGGTCACCGTGAAGCTCCAGGGAGCTCTGACAACTTCGACTCGTCTGGACGCAAAGCTGCTGTCAGGCTTCACCGAGTCCAATCCAAAGGAGCTCATGAAGTCAACCTCAACTGCAAAAATGCGAAAAAAAATCTGAAAACCTGACTGTTCCTTTGCAGAGATTGCAAGACATAGTGATGCCAAGGTGATCTCAGGTAATTTGATAGGCTCTGATACGATGTGTGACTTTCATGGCCAAACGTGAGCCAAGAGGCTTTTGGTGCAGGCAGCCCCACGCTGTGCTCCCTTTGCCTGGCAAAACGGGTGAGTACCCGCAGCACCAACCAGTCTGTAACAGCAGGCAGTCAGGTGACACACTGCAATGCTTTGAGGTAAATGCGTTGGAGCAGTGGATGGGTGATTGTCTCACAAATCTTGAAGCTTGTGCGGAATATCATACTGGCAGATTGTGTGGGTGTGCTTTTAACATGTTTAAGTTCTCTTAACATCTTCCAACTAGTTGTGAGATGTGGCTAAACATCTTCATGGCAAATGCTCTAGGAATTCCGATTCATGGAGAGAAGGTTTGAGCAAAGTCTTAAGAGATTTATATAAGAGAGGCCATGTTGATATGGAAGTGAAGTGTCCAAAAGATTCCAAGGTGTGGCATATCCCCACCATCGACTTATCCTGACTACGGGTTGGCCTTTTCTCTGCACCCCCTGCACTCGTTCCTGCGGCGCACCATGAGATTGACTCCTGCGAAGGCTCCGGCTTTGGAAGGAAAGCTGCTAGGCTTGTGCCTCTTGTGTCCATGGCGTCGCTAGGCAACCCTTATCAAGGGCCATTCCATGCTTGGGAGCTGCACACCCTTCGCAGGTTTTGGGGAAGGGTTCACCACCGATGTGCCTACTCCAATACCCCGCTGTCGTTCTTATCTGGGCCGAAAGCCCTCCTTCCTTCAACTAGATTATCATTATATCAACTCTATCATCAGCAGGCCTGATCGAAGGGTCTCTCTTCTGTCTCCCTCCCTCCCTAGTTTTCAAAAATGCAGAAATAGTCGCACTGCACTTCTTGCTGACTTGCTCTGCTTATAGTCTGCCAAAACAATCTGACAAGTCTCATTTCAAAAATCTCAGCTGCGAAGACCTTCATGAATCTTGCATCCCAATCAGGACGCGACCCTGTGCACTCTTTAGAAGCTTTACAGGAATCTCGATTAAAAAATCTACAGTTGTTGAAAATCCAAGGACTTGGAGACACACGCACGCACTTAATCCAACCCCCGCCATTTTCATTGATGTGCGCTTGACATCGCTTAACTACATCCAGCTGCTTGATATCCAGGTTCCTCGTGGCGCTTCCAAACAGTGCACGCTGCGAAAAGTCCTGGTAAAGACTCGCATGGCAAGCTGCAGCATCTCTGCGACGATGAGATCGAAGATCACCAGAAGGTTGACAGCGGCTTCAATCGTGGGAGTTCTTTGCACTGGGCATAGGAACAATGAGGCTCAGCAGGGTGCACAATCCAAGGTTCCAAGGATACCTACACAGTGAAGCAAATCCCCATCTTCAACTCTCTTCAGCAGCGATACTCAACTTACAGTAACCTCCCTTTCTTTCTTGCTGTTGGGGCTTCAGCAGAACTGCGTAGCACTTGCAGAACTTCTCCATTTGCGGCAGCTGTTTGCCATCGCTGCAGCAGGCTGGGTTCAAGAGATCCCAACACATACGCAGCCACAGTGGGTGGACTTCTGCTGGCTGGCCGACCCACACTCAACCGCAGCCGGCGCACAACTCCGATGGCCTGAAGGATGCTGCGCACGCCACGGTTCCCCCCGTCGGACTCATTACAAATCATGGCCCAAACAAACGGCTCCAAGTCGATATCATCGTGAAGCACAACCACGTCGCCTGGCTCCATGTCCAAAGTCTGAAGCACCCGTTGCACCGCCCAGCCTGAGAGGTTGTAGAAGGTCCCCGGGATTGTGATCGACGTGTCGCCACCTTGAGCTATCCAACTCCAGCAGCTCCATCGCCATTCCCAGGTGAGGCCCAACTCTTCTGCCAGTGCCTCCATCACCAGCGATCCCAAGTTGTGGCGGGCAGACTTGGGGGAAGGCCATGGATTGCCCAATCCCACCAGAAGTTGGGGCATACCGGGGGCCTTTGATGCTGATGCTGCTCGAATGAAAGCTGGCACAGAAAGTACGCTGATATGTGGGAAAAAAAAAACCGCACACGCTCAAACACACAACACTGATCAATGCTCTACTTACACGACTGAGCTTGGGGTGACTTGCATGCAATTAGCGCGGCATCAGCTTCTTGATAGAGGAGAAATTGCTTGGCAGTGCTACTTTAGGCAAGGTATCTTCTCGCAATTGGCCGCTTTTGTGCAGGGCGAAGCTGGGATCTTTGCCCTAGAGATTCTCGCACAAAGACTTGCTTCATCTTGCAGATTGTTCACTCTAGGTGATGGATCAGCCATCCCAAGTCTTGAGCGCCAGGGTTCCAGCCAGCCATACTTTTGCCAGTCTTTTTGGAGTAGAAGAACCTCAAGTGCATCTGCCCCGGAATTCAGCCTATAGTCATACCTAGTTGTCATACTAATTCCTTCCCCCTATGAATATTTAAACTCTGGTCCATTGCCAATCTTTTTGTTGCTGATTGCATTTTTCAATTGTGGCAATTGAAAAGCAGTACGGGAACAGCATACTAATTATATCTAAGAAAAACGATTTAACCTTGGAGGGGGTGCGCCTTTTGACATCTTTTTTTGTTTTTTAATTAAGGTTTGATTCGACTGTGAGGGGAAAGCTTCGAAATCCAATCTCTGGCAATGTTTTGATAGATTTTAACGAGGAAGTTGATAGTTCTTTTTAGTTCTTTGTAGGGGGAAGCTTCGCACCCAAATGCTTTTTATACCCCCCGATAATAAAAACTCCTCCAGGATCCTCCAGGTGTTTATTATTAAGGGAGTGTGGTTTGTATTGGGGGGAAAGGATTACTTTGCCTCAATAACATTCGATACCAATGTATCCAAGATGTGCTATCAGCAAAAGCTCTCAAGACATCCGTCACAAAAACGCGCTGAAAATGTTGTCTCTCTGTTTCACAGAGACATACCTCAAACTTACTGTAAACCTTCTGATGCGAAACCTTGGCAACCAATGGGTCAAGACCAAAGATCAGTTTTGGCCAACACTTAATTACCAGCACAGCTCCCTTGTGCTCTGGCAGATGCAGCAGAGAGACGGCACTCCTCTTCCACCAAGTCGTTGAAACTCTAGCATTGCCTGGTCAGTCGCACAAAAAGGTTCGTCAATATCAAATCATGTAAACAGGGGCGATTCCGACATCACTCTGCCTCCCGTGACCATTCCACATCTTGAAGGTCAAAATTGCTGAGGCCGCGTTTCTTCAACATCTGCACTGCTGAAACGCAGTGTGGACCTCAAGGGAAAGCGCGCTTCCAGCTTTGTCCATGTTGCGTGTTCTTGTCTTGGAAGCATGGGCCGCTGTCATCAGTGTTGTAATTAATTGGCTGCCAAAGGATTGCGCTCTCGTTCCAACACCTGGGTTCTGGACACCCGCCGCGAGCAAAGAGCACAATTTCCTAGGATCGTCGCAGAACATGCGCTACGTCGGTGCCAGAAAGACTCGCTACAGGAGAAGGAGAAGAAGGAGAAGGAGAAAGGGGCAGATCACTTGGCCCACGTGGCAGAATGAGTTTGGAAACCAAGTCGTGTCTTGTAACCCACCCTGCGGCAGGTCAAGTCCTTCCATGCTAAATTGAAAGGGAAGAACTTAAAGACTGTGCTAAGTCTTCTTTCCGTTTGTAGTTTGAGATTGTTGCAGCGAATTGCTACAACCCACCAGTCCAACTTCCAGACTTGACAACACCTTTAAGGCACTCCACTACAGACTGGGCCTCCCTTCTCCCCCTGAAGCATGCTACCGCGCAGTGGAACCAGCTGCGCTATGGTTCTAGCCAAATATCAAGCTCCTCATAGCGTCGCGCATCCCAAGGCTTTGTTTGCTCCGAGTTTGTCTGTGAGTCATCTCCCTTAGCCTCTTTTGTCGATGCTTGCCTGGGAAAGCGTGACACAGGCTCCCATCCAACATCAAAATCTGGGGCCTCTAGGGCAGAAACAAGGCGTTCTTCGATGCGGACTGCTCATTTTTGGTGACATGAATCCAAATGTCACTGGTTCAGCAAAATGGGGGAAATGATGGAAAATGCAAAGAAAGCTCCATCTGCTGGCTGGGATCTGTTTCAAAATGACTTCTGCTTCTCTGGCGCGCTCTACTGGGTCCCGCTTCTCCAAAAGATCTTCTGAGCTGAGATTCGCCTGTTCTGTTTCGGGTGGCAGGGGATGGTTTCCAATGCCAACTTCGGAACAATCTGAAAGATTTTATGAAGATCTTTCTGGGGGCTGCGCTTGTCCTGACTGATTGATTTTTGTCAACTATATGCTATATAATCAAAGGAAGTTGGGAAGCAATTTCCGAGTTACGAATGACTTTTTACTTGGTGCAATTGACTATGATGAAGGGTGGTAGATCCTGTAACAATACATAACGTACCAATACATCACAAACCAATAAGAAGCAATGAAATTGACCTTGAGGAAGGGTGGTAGGTCATATAACAATACATAATATAACAATACATAATGTACCAATACATAACAAAAGAATAAGAAGCTATGAAATTGATCTTGAGGAAGTGATGATGAAGGGGAGTGGTGACGAAGGGAAGTGGTGAGGAAGGGAAGTGGTGAAGAAGGGAAGTGGTGACGAAGGGAAGCGGTGAAGAAGGGAAGTGATGATGAAGGGGAGTGGTGACGAAGGGAAGTGGTGACGAAGGGAAGTGGTGACGATGGGAAGTGGTGACGAAGGGAAGTGGTGACAAAGGGAAGTGGTGACGAAGGGAAGTGGTGACGATGGGAAGTGGTGAGGAAGGGAAGTAGTGAGGAAGGGAAGCGGTGACGAAGGGAGGTGGTGACGATGGGAAGTGGTGACGATGGGAAGTGGTGAGGAAGGGAAGTGGTGAGTTGGGGAGGAAGCCGGAGCACGAAACCTTGTGTTTTTCCGTGTAAAGTGGCTGCAGGCGACGATGAAAGGTACCTCGTGTGTGCGACGGGTGCGGCTGGGGTCGGTTGGTCGTTTTTTTTTTGCCGCAGTGTAACGGTGGCTTGAAGCTGCTTTGGGTGTGCTTGTGTGTGCGTAGTTATAGGGTGTTTTGGAATCTCCGGTTGCAGATCGCATTGGAATGGCTGCATGATGTTGCATGGGCTATGTTTTGGGGAGGAAGCCGGAGCACGAAACCTTGTGTTTTTCCGTGTAAAGTGGCTGCAGCCGACGATGAAAGGTACCTCGTGTGTGCGACGGGTGCGGCTGGGGTCGGTTGGTCGTTTTTTTTTTGCCGCAGTGTAACGGTGGCTTGAAGCTGCTTTGGGTGTGCTTGTGTGTGCGTAGTTATAGTGTGTTTTGGAATCTCCGGTTGCAGATCGCATTGGAATGGCTGCATGATGTTGCATGGGCTATGTTTTGGGGAGGAAGCCGGAGCACGAAACCTTGTGTTTTTCCGTGTAAAGTGGCTGCAGGCGACGATGAAAGGTACCTCGTGTGTGCGACGGGTGCGGCTGCGGTCGGTTGGTCGTTTTTTTTTTGCCGCAGTGTAACGGTGGCTTGAAGCTGCTTTGGGTGTGGTTGTGTGTGCGTATTTATAGGGTGTTTTGGAATCTGTGGTTGCAGCTCCCATTGGAATGGCTGCATGATGTTGCATGGGCTATGTTTTGGGGAGGAAGCTGGAGCACGAAACCTTGTGTTTTTCCGTGTAAAGTGGCTGCAGCCGGCGATGAAAGGTACCTCGTCTGTGCGGCGGTTGCGGCTGCGGTCGGTTTGTCGTTTTTTTTGCCGCAGTGCGTAGTTATAGGGTGTTTTGGAATCTCCGGTTGCAGATCGCATTGGAGTGGCTGCCTCAAGGTTGCTTGCCGCCTCGGCTGCATGCGTAATACTATTGTCTTTTGCAGCTGAAGATTTGTGAATCGTATTGGAGTGGCTGCATCCAGGTTGCGATAGTCATTTGTCAGCAGATTTTCGCAAATTTGGCGCTAGTAATTTTCCTTTTAAAATTCCTTTTAAAAAATGCTTCAAAATCGTCTTTTTTCTGCTTTGGCGTCGAGATCCGGTTTTGGAGTTGCGATTTCCGACGCCGTTGCGCTTAGTTCTATTGTGATTTGCAACTCAGTCTCTGCAGATCGCATTGGAGTGGCTGCCTCAAGGTTGCTTGGTGCCGCGGCTGCATGCGTAATACTATTGTCTTTTGCAGCTGAAGATTGTAAATCGTATTGGAGTGGCTGCATCCAGGTTGCGATAGTCATTTGTCAGCAGATTTTCGCAAATTTGGCGCTAGTAATTTTCCTTTTAAAATTCCTTTTAAAAAATGCTTCAAAATCGTCTTTTTTCTGCTTTGGCGTCGAGATCCGGTTTTGGAGCTGCAATTTCCGACGCCGTTGCGCTTAGTTCTATTGTGATTTGCAACTCAGTCTCTGCAGATCGCATTGGAGTGGCTGCCTCAAGGTTGCTCGGTGCCGCGGCTGCATGCGTAATACTATTGTCTTTTGCAGCTGAAGATCGTACATCGTATTGGAATGGCTGCATCAAGGCTGCGAAAGTGATTTGTCAGCAAATCTTTTTTCAATTTTGGCGCTAACAATTTTCCTTGTAAAATTCCTTTTAAAAAGCGCATCAAAATCGTCTTTTTTCTGCTTTGGCGTCGAGATCCGGTTTTGGAGCTGCAATGCCTGTGTGTAAAAGTTTGTGTGTGTAAAAGCACTGTGTGCAAGTACTGTGTGTAAGTGTTCTGTGTCTAAACGCTTGGTGTGTGTGAAAGCTTGCTGTGTGTAAAAGATGTTGTGTGTAAAAGTTTGCTGTGTGTAAAAGCTTATCTGTTCATGTGTTACAAGTGTCTCTGTGTAAAAGTTTCTGTGTGTGTGTGTAAACGCTTGCCATGTGTAAAAGCACTGTGTGTAAGTGTTCTGTGTGCAAACGCTTGCCATGTGTAAAAGCACTGTGTGCAAGTACTGTGTGTAAACGCTTGCTGTGTGTAAAAGCTTCTCTGTGTGTAAAAGCGTCTCTGTGTAAAAGTTTCTGTGTGTGTGTGTAAGCGATTTCCATGTGTAAAAGCACTGTGTGTAAGTGTTTTGTGTGTAAATGCTTGCTGTGTGTGAAAGCTTGCTGTGTGTAAAAGCTTCTCTGTGGAGTGAAGAAGTGTGGAGTGTGAAGAAAGCAATGAGAAGTGTGAAGTGTGGACTGTGACGTGTAAAGTGTGAAGTATGAAGTGTGGAGTCTGAAGAAAGCAGTGAGAAGTGTGAAGCGTGGAGTGTAAAGTGTGGAGTGTGAAGTGTGGAGTGTGAAGTGTGGAGTGAGAAGTGAGAAGTGAGAAGTGAGAAGTGTGAAGTGTGGAGTGTGAAGTTTGGAGTGCGAAGAGTGCAGTGTGAAATGTGAAGTGTGGAGTGCGAAGAGTGCAGTGTGAAGTGTGAAGTGTGGAGTGTGAAGTGCGAAGTGGAGCTTCACATGTGACATGTGAAGCAGGACACATCTTTCGCAGTGTGCACGCACGCACGGGCTTGGCTGGCGCACGGCGCATGCAAGTTCTATAGATGAGAAAGGTCTTATATATCTTTAAGGCAACTTCCGCCCCGCCTCGTGCGGGTACTACTGGTAAATATAACTATAAGCTGTTTTCTAGACCATTTGCCATAGAGCCCCTTTTCCCCAAAAGGTACTAACATGTACTAACACCTTTTTCGCCCTTTTCTACAGCAAAATATGTTGCTGTCCTACCTTAGGCTTCTCAACTTCTGCACTCATTCGGGAAATGCCCACAGGCTGCAATTTGCAGGAACGACGTCAAGAATAGGTAAAGCTTTCAGTGAAGTGAGGCCCGGGGTCAGGTTCCAACAAATCAGAACCAGTATATGTGGAGGCTTCCCTGCCTTATGGATGATGTTTCGCAGCTCTGAGACAGACTTGGAGGTCAAAGTCGACTGCGGAGCACATTGGCCTGCGACTACTGCATATGCATGACCCCTGATTGCTCCCATTTACAGTATTATATACTACATGCGTTACATGCTTTTCCCATTTAAATGCCCATTTAAATGCCGTGGATTTCCCCTTGGTTGATTTCCGGCTGGTAGCTGTACTGCTGTGCTTGGCACCTGGTGCATCTCCCTCAGCTTTGGCATTGGCGCCATCACTTGCCCTGACAGCCCATGATCCAAAAGGAAGTTGGTTGCTTGATACAAGCAGCTCACCTACTGTAGCTTGAGGGGGCCGTGTCAAATATGATCACAAGCTGCCAAAGCAGCAAAATGCAATCTAATCATACACATTCATACACATAGATGCAATCTAATCATACACATTCATACACATAGATGCAATCTAATCATACACATTCATACACATACTGTATAGTGGAGGAAAAAATACAATCTAATCATACACATTCATACACATAGATGCAATCGAATCATACACATTCATACACATACTATATAGTGGAGGAAAAGAAATCCTGGAGCTTGCAAGACTTTCAGTCGCACCTCAATTTCTGGACCAAATCCTGTTTCTCAAAGCAATCGGAGGTTGAAACGCTGCGCTGCGCTGCCAACTGCCGCAGCTCCGCCACACTCAGGCTCTCCAAGTCTTGTGTTGAAAGCCAGCGCCCCTACTGCAATGTGCCAATGTGAAAAAAAAATATATATATATATATTGTGTAGGTTGTGTAAAGCAGTGCCAGCAAAAAATGACCAGAATTCTTGCCCCATTCGGCCCATTCGTAATCCATTCGTTCCATCTATTCATTTGAGCCCTGCAAGTTGAAACCACAGAGTCCTTGGGAGCTCGGAGGAACGGAAGCGGGAGGGTCAGGAGGACACCACCGCTGCAACGGCCGGCGGCTCTCATGGCTCGCCAAAGAGACGGAGGCATGGCTACCATGGCTCTCCCAAGGGTTTTGCAAATGGTTGCAGTGATGGGACTCTGAACATTTGACATCTCGCTTGCGCTGTGAGTGCTTCCTCCCAAAGCTTTGCAAGTTTTCCTTTTCTGGTCAAGCTTGGGATTGCGCAATTCGTGAACTTGAGCTATGGGGAATCACTGTGGACTTCAAGCCAAAGGCTACCATAAACACATTCAAATTGAATGAAAAACCACCCCAGGGCGTTTGTATGTAAGGCCACTCACAACCAAAGAAACACTCAACATCACTGGACCCTCCGCAGGTTTCGGACCCGAGGCCTTTGATGCTGATGCTGCTCGAATGAAAGCTGGCACAGAAAGTACGCTGATATGTGGGAAAAAAAAACGCACACGCTCAAACACACAACACTGATCAATGCTCTACTTACACGACTGAGCTTGGGGTGACTTGCATGCAATTAGCGCGGCATCAGCTTCTTGATAGAGGAGAAATTGCTTGGCAGTGCTACTTTAGGCAAGGTATCTTCTCGCAATTGGCCGCTTTTGTGCAGGGCGAAGCTGGGATCTTTGCCCTAGAGATTCTCGCACAAAGACTTGCTTCATCTTGCAGATTGTTCACTCTAGGTGATGGATCAGCCATCCCAAGTCTTGAGCGCCAGGGTTCCAGCCAGCCATACTTTTGCCAGTCTTTTTGGAGTAGAAGAACCTCAAGTGCATCTGCCCCGGAATTCAGCCTATAGTCATACCTAGTTGTCATACTAAGTAATGTATATATATATATATGTGTGTGTGTGACATTGTATGACTATTGAACGACTATTTCAGTTTACTACATCACAGTAGTAGATGTAGTGCCCGGAATCACCAGGCCGAAACCCTGCCCAGCCTCCGTCATCGATTGAAGTGTGGAACTCTAAAGATCCATTTCTCCATGTCATAAGAGATGAATTTCCCACCAAACTCCTGTGCCAAACTACAGCATGACGTTGCACAGGCCAGGTCAGCTTCGTGATGTTTACCAGCGCAATACGAGTCAGTGAGTTCTCTTATTTGACAACTAGCCAGAACTAACTCAGATTTGCTATGTCCAAGAGAAATGCTAAGGATGATTGGGTAAATGTTGGATGATCTGCGACTCGCGAACCGTCTGGAGAGGCTTCGTGACAGCAAAGCTCCTCGGAGAGCTTTGACAAGCGTTGCTGGAGCTGTTCAAGGCTTTTGGGCTTCACGTCATTCCTCACGAACGGACAGTGGACTCCTGTCACCTAAACACGAATCCCAGAAACCAATAGAAACCGCAAGGAGCGATCTTTGTTTCCAAATGTTTCCAGTTCCTGTAATCTGAAGCTCAGCAGCCTTGTGGGTTTCACATTCAAGGTGACCACGGCTTCTTTGTTGAGCCCTTGGCCTGAGCAAGAGCAGCCCAGGCTAGATCTGCAGCTGATGAAGCTCAAGTTTCATAATTTGTTTGTCCATTGGAACAAGGCGCGGGCACCCAGAAAGTGAAGGACATTGCAAGAAGTGCACGTGGTTCCGGGTTTCAAAAGTTTCAGTGAACAAAGTCAAAACCAGAAGGGTGCAAGATACGACAAGTCCGGCTGAGGTTGCCGCCGATATCTGGCTTCTCCCTGCCAACTTTGTGTGAGATTTTGCTACCAAAGCAGGATGCTAAACTCTGGCAGACACATCTTCTGCCACACGAAATGGCATACGGTCAAAGGCATTCAAATCGCGGCGTGTGGGTCTGAAGATCACAACTCACATAGCAGTGATGGATGAAAAAACACTCCTTCATGGACAGCACTAGCCACTAGCCTGTCGGGGTAGAGCGTCAGGCTGCCACGTTCGATTCGAACATCCCGATCAAAGTCGTGGCATCGCACGTCAGTGAGTCCTCCAACTGCAAAACAGACTTCCCCACCCAATCACCCATACTCCAAGGGGATTGCCATCAAAAAAACTTTTCAAACTCAAAGATCAGAAAGCGATTCCCACACATCATCCTGGCCATTTGACAGCGCCATAGCCGTAGCGACCAATCTCCAAGTTGTCGATACGACTAAGTTGTGCTTCACTCATCCTGGACATAGCTTCCTAAGCATTGCACGAAAAAACACAAATATCAAGGGACACACACAAGCCAAGATGTGACAAATGTGTGGTCGAAAGAAAATGCACCAGCAAGCTACGTTTCAGTACCACAAGGAGACGCAGCAATCACTGAATGAGACTCAATTTTGTCCCAAGCCATGCAACAAGGAGTACACAGAAATACTTGCAGTTCAATTGGCAGATTTGATCCTCCATGGACAATCCAAGAATCAATCGATGGATTGCTGTAATAATCTGCTCGCGAGAGCTTTGGCACCAACGAAGCAGCCGCCACTTCCGCCAACGGTGCCTCTTCCGACCTAGCGACTTTGCCATTCCTACAGAGGAGACCATCAAAACCAGTGGCGAGTAGGGGCTTTATGTACTGTATATATATATATAACTATATATGCATATATATATATATACTACCCCACACACAAAAAAAAATAATAATAATTAATAATATATCTTGGGTACTATATATATATATAGATATATATATATATATATGTGTGTGTGTACATGTGTGTGTGTGCGTGCAAAAGGAGGTAGAAATGTGAAACTGTGTTGCACAAAGCTACTCCCTACTGTTCCCTACCTCCTGGTGAACACTATGATTGCCCTATGGAGAGATACACCCATGCCATGCCAACCAAAGGATTTGGAAGCGCCTCTCGGGTCCGTGTCGAATGATGTTTGGTTTGATCGGCTTCAATGTGGGCGTCAGCATCTCCTGTTGATAGTGGCTATTGACAGCCCCAGACTCTGTGCACATGATTGGCCATCAAAAAAAAAAAGAGAAAAAACTCTGGGCCTCTGCTGCAGTAGGGGTGCCAGTCCCACCCGTCGTTCCATCTATTTGTACATCGCGTGGTCGCCTGGCTCGCACCAATCATTCTGCCACGACATGCTGCAGTGGAGGCATTTTTTTTCTCCGAGCCTCAATGGTGGCATACCTTCCTCTGGTGTACGTCTTGGCGACATTGGTGTCGGCGATTTGGGGGACTTTGGCTTCATTGACACTCGCAGGAATGCCTCAAAATCATCGGACTTTCAGAACACTGCATACATCAGAAGGGATGACAATGAACCTGGCGAATCACACTCAACAGGTAAGCGGGGAAAACCCTCTATAGTCTTGAGTACAGCAAACATAGATGACAAATAGATACAAATAGGCCAGGGGATGCCAGGGTGTTTGAAGTAGCTCCATGTGATCTCCATAGTTCAGCTCTGCCAAGGCTCCGAAGGTGAGACATCCGGCCCAGATGTCGGGGTGGCCGGTCGGCTTCTTGGTGTGGAGCTACCATACGACCGGATGTGATCGGTCCTCAGCGTCCAATTTCTCTGGTGGTTTGTCCTATGGCTGTCCTTGTCCCGTTTGTCCTATGGCAATCTGATGGCAATCTGATGGCGGTTCGGCCGTTGGCATTGGCAGCCAGCAGCCAGCAATCGTACCGAGTCTCACAGCCGAAGGTGGAAGGCTAAAAGATGTGCTTCGTGGAGATCTATCTGCAAAGGAGCCCTGTCAAAGGCATCAAGTAGAAAAAGTTCGAAACTTTTGGAATATAGTTACAACTATAGACTATAGTCATATTCAATCTAATTCTCAAAGTCGATAAGGTCATCAATAACGCCGAAACCATGGCCTCGGATGTAGACCGTGATGGCGTTGAATGGCGAACCTTGGCTCTGTCTGGCCCTCTCTCTGTCTCTCTCTCTCTCTCCCTCTCTCTCCCTCTCTTGAACGTACGTAGCTTTATGAAAATATGTGAAGAGCACTTCCACATCTCTTCGACCTGCTACCCATTTGGTCACCTGGTCGGAAACATTATGTCATAATATCATATCATTTCTTCTATTCCTGCCATGTCAGACCCTGAGTGCCATGCTCTGGCTGCCGATTCGGGCTGTGACTTCCACAGGTATGCGGATGTGGCTTTTGACGGCGTCTTTGGTACAGTCAGACCCAGTGGTCTGGGCGGTGCCTGATTGGCAGTCACCAAGCCGTTCAAACCATAGGGATCTCCAGGTGAGATGGGCATAGCACCCATACCTCCTCCCAGTCCCATCTGGCCCATCTGACCTGTATTCCCAAATAATCCGCCAGAAGCACCCATCATGCCACCACTGCTGGCACCAAAGAGTCCTCCACCTGAGTTTCCAAACAAACCACCTCCTGAGTTTCCGAAGAGGCCTCCTCCTGTATTGCCGAAAAGGCCCCCCCCTGTGTTGGCTCCGAACAAGCCACCACCTGAATTCGCACCAAAAAGGCCTCCTCCAGAGTTGGCTCCGAATAAGCCACCGCCAGAATTCGCGCCGAAAAGGCCTCCTCCACTGTTCGCACCAAAGAGGCCTCCACCAGAACTGGCACCAAACAGACCTCCACCACTGGGTTTGCCGCCGAAAAGGCCACCTCCGGTGTTGCCAAACAGTCCTCCACCGGTGTTGGCTCCGAACATGCCACCACCGCTATTGCCGAAAAGGCCGCCTCCAGTGTTCGCACCGAACAGGCCACCTCCGCTGCTCTGGCCAAAGAGGCCACCACCTGTATTCGCTCCAAAGAGGCCTCCACCAGTATTTCCACCAAACATGCCACCGCCGGTGTTGCCAAAAAGGCCTCCACCGGTGTTCCCGCCAAACATCCCCCCTCCTGTGTTGCCGCCGAACATGCCACCGCCGGTGTTTCCAAAGAGCCCGCCACCGGTGTTGCCACCGAACAATCCACCACCTCTGAAGGGCACAAAATGAAAATACGAGAAATGAGAGAAACCATCATGAAACACTGCAGCGCTTTGGCCCACTCAGGACACGACTACTATTTCTGAAACTAAATCATATCAAATTGTTGTACAACTGTGCTATGTCCTTTGCTCAGTTGGTGCTTCAAGTGCAAAGGCCCCGACCAGAGGCTGCCCCAAAGAGACCACCACCGCTGGGCTTGGCGCCAAATAGCCCGCCACCAGTGTTTTGGCCAAATAAGCCGCCACCGGTGTTGGCTCCAAACATGCCACCTCCAGTGTTCTGCCCGAACAAGCCGCCACCAGTGTTCCCACCAAACAAGCCGCCACCGGTGTTCTGTCCGAATAAGCCGCCACCGGAATTCTGGCCAAACAGACCTCCACCTCCGGTGTTCTGCCCAAAGAGGCCACCGCCAGTGTTCTGACCAAACAGGCCACCACCTGTGTTGGCTCCAAACATTCCACCACCCGTATTTCCACCAAACAAGCCACCGCCACTACTCTGACCGAACATGCCACCGCCGGTGTTTTGTCCAAACATGCCTCCACCGGTGTTGCCGCCAAACATCCCTCCAGTATTCTGGCCGAACATTCCTCCGCCGGTGTTGGCACCAAACAGGCCCCCACCGCTATTCGGCTGACCAAAGAGGCCGCCCCCGGTGTTTTGCCCAAATAGGCCTCCGCCGGCCGTGTTTTGACCGAATAGGCCACCTGGAAAGCTGAAGGGTGTCTGGAATCTGGAAGTCGAAAACCAAATCATGGATGACACAACAGTGACATGTAGTGACATGTAGTGGCCGTAACCACAAAAACAACCCCAGGCCTCCGGAGTTCGCAGCAAAAAGGCCACCGCCAGAGCTGGCACCGAAGGGACTGGAGCTTTGACCAAAGAGGCCACCTGAGGCACCTGGAGCTGGAGCTCCTGCCGAGATGGCTCAACTGGTTCCATTCCACCTGTTGCATTCTAATATAAGAAATGTCAATATAGTCAATGTATGTCAATATATATATATATAGTAACTACATGCAACTACATTGTAACTATAATTAGTGGATGTACTATAATGGTTGACTTACAACTTATAATAGCTAATATACTACAATAGTTAACTACCCTGAAAATAGATTAAATGTTGGGCCATTTGGGGATGATTCCCCGTAGATTCAGCATCATTCCAGTGACGTCATAGTGAGGTCATTTACACTTCTTCAACCCATCGTGGCCATGGCTATCCCATGGGCCGCCATGGGTCAAAATGGTGCTGATCCAAGACATGGCCCCACGCTTCCATCCTGCCTTGTCCTGCTTGCAAGCGGTTGGCCTGATAGTCTTCCATGCGGAGCCTCATCGCAAGGCATGGAGCATGCCTGCATCCCATATTTCATCCCTGAAACGATCTGCAGGAGAGGCCTCCAACGGAATCAACGGAATTAAAAAACTAAGGCATAGGCTCTTCGAAAGACTTATTCTTGTAACAGTCCATCACGCCGATGTGTGCATATTTCAACTTGGTTTCTTGGTCGGTGATCTCCTGCATCTTCGTGGTTGTTCCTGTTGCGGTACCGCCGAAGCCACCGCCAAACATCCCGCCCTGCGCGGGCTGTCCAAAGAGGCCGCCACCAGAGCTAGGTTGTCCAAAAAGGCCTCCACCTGAACTCTGGCCGAACATGCCGCCGCCACCTGAGTGCACGGCTCCACGGCTCCACCCTCTATCATCCAACAAACCTTGGATTGATCTCTATTCCGTTGGCTATCCCCGTTGAACCAGTCATTACATACGAAACCATCAACCACCATGGATTTGGGACCAATTCGGGATGATTTTTGGCATTGCCCACCTGCTGGTTGTCCGAACAAACCACCAGATGCCTGGCTCTGCCCGAAGCCTCCTCCTCCAAATAGGCCACCCGTGGGTTGTCCTTGGCCCATGCCGCCACTTTGGCCGAAGCCAAAGCCTCCGCCGCCACAGCCGCAGCCTCCAGATCCAAAGAGGCCTCCACCAGACTGGGGCTGTCCAAACAATCCCCCGCCAGCTCCACCCCCTGTGTTTCCAAATGGGCTGCTCTGTGCACCAAAGAGGCCCCCTCCAGTGTTCTGTCCGAACATTCCGCCACCGGAGTTGGCACCGAACATGCCCCCACCAGTGTTGCCACCTCAATGTCTGCCGGGTCCGCCAAAGACACAAGCAGCTACAAGTACATGACAAATCATGGCTTGCTCATTGATCTGTGTGACCCCTAAAGTGACATTATCCAACGACATCATGAATTTGCCAACTGAGAGTTGCACCGAAGAGGCCACCACCGGTGTTGCCAAAGCCTCCGAAGCCCCCTTGGGGTTGTCCGAACATGGTTCACAGAGATGAGCGGTTTCTAGGCCTCAGCAGCAACTATGGCCTCATGGACTCGATGGAAGACGATGGATAGTTGATAGTCTGGGTAATAGCATGTCATAGCCATTATGCAAGCAATTACAGTGGGCTCTGGAGCTTCTTCAGTTTTACTTGCTGGGCAGCCACCTTCCCGGCTTCCTCTCTCGGCCTACCTGTCTGAAACTACAACTGCAAACAGTCCCGCAAAGTCAGAAATGAAATGAAATAAATGTTCGACCTGCGAAAGCCCTACTCTCTCTCTCTCTCTCTCTGAAATTCGTGAGATCACATCTTTGATGGGCAAATCATTTACAGCTTATGGATGTTCCATGATGTTCCATTGCCAAGGTCAGATTACCCGTAGGCGCGGCCCGTAGGGCATGAGTTCTGAGTTCGTGGCAAAGGCTCGATCTGCTTCGCGATCGTAGCCCTGGGTGGCCCTTCGGCCACCCTACAAATGCCAAGTTGTGCAGCACAGTGGTTCGGGAAAAAGCAGCTTGAACCGAAACTGTGATGGGAGCGGGAGACGATGCTACCAGACAACTACCTGATTTTGTTTGCCATTTCAAGTTGCGTTTCAAGTTTAAATTATGTCAAATGGTGGAAAAAGGAATGTTGAAAGCGTTACAAAGAGAGCACAGTATGTAGTAGAACACTCCACACAGCTCCTTCATGGAAACTGCACATCATTTATCTTGAACGCTAGAGGTTGGAATCTAGGTTGATGTGTTGCAAGGGGCAACTTTTACACTGCGTCGTCGTGCAGCACGCGCCCCGAGAACTTGCTGGCGATAGCTTGGCAAACCCCAATGAAGCAAACTAGCCAACAGCAGCGATCCTATGTCCTAGGTGCCACCCGCATCAAAGTTTGCGAACTATGCGCACTTCCACCCCAAGCACAGCTTATCTCAACAGCTCCTTGGAAGATGAGACTACACGCAAACTATGTGGAAGCGCATGAGTTCCACCCACAGTTACCTGGTCGTTCTTTGCAACCCAGGGCTGCTCTAAACCAGTTGGAACCTTGACCCTTGAGCCTTTGCCATCATTCTTCATTCATCCCTCACTCCGGAACTGCTGGAAGAGGGCTGCAGATTCATGTGGCGAAGAGGCACTCTTGAATCCCAAGCACCCGAGATACGCGAGGCAAAGTATCATAGAAGAAGAACAAGTGGATCACGAAAAGCAGCAAGAAGAGCAGTGGGAACAGCGAGTGCAAATGAAAGTGGCTGGCATGCTGCTGCTTGATCACCTGCCCCAGTTGTCGTCGCAAATCCTCCACTTCTTGCTGCTTAAAGTCTAGCATGCTCTGCTTCACATTGACTTGCAGCTGCTTCACCTTGGCCTGGCCAGGGAAAAGTGCCCAGAAACCTGTTTCCAGCTTGCCGAACCTTACCCCTAGAATCCCAACTCAATGTTCCTGTCCATATTTCCTTCCTGCTCCTACACATCAAGGGTGGCTGTCGAGCTTCCCCCGCGCCTCTTCCTCAAGCCGACTTGTGTGATCTGTCAGCTCCTTGATCCGCTGATGCATTGCTCCCTTCTCCTTTTCTCTCTCGATGAGCATCGACCGGACGTGCTCCATTTCGGCCTTCCACTCCTAGCATTGCTAGCATCCACTCTCATCAGTTACGGAAGTGTGCGTACGATGGCACATACATGCATGCCTGTGTGTGTATGCGTGCTTTCCTCCAAACAGCTGCATAATGTGCAGCATTTGCACGCGTACATGCATCTGTCTGTCAATACAATGGGTACGATTACATAACCCCACTTAACCCACTTACATCTCTCTTTTGCCTATCCATTAAACATACATGGATCCGATACGCAAACAAATATTTTACAGTTGACAGTGACACATCTACGTCTCTTTTAATGCTGCCACTTTGTCAAACTCATGTATGCCCATATGAAGGGCCAATCATTGATGCTATCGCTTTGCTTTACGTTTCTTTTAAAAGATTCTTCCGACACGCCCCTGCTTCCGGATGGGCAAGTTGCCTGCATCAAGAGCAGTTCTCGAGCCAAGCAGTGGGAACTATGAAGAGGTCGCTCGTCCCAACGTCCAGTCCAGTAGCAGCCGGGATGAACGCAGCGGACTTGCAGCTCATTGAGCAAAGAGCTCACAACCAGATTTGGCCTCGGGCACTCAACGCAGCTGCGGACCGTGTTTGTCGGTGCAAATTCTTCACTGGGTTGTCACTTCATGTCCAAGGGGCTGCAAGTCTTTGGTCATGGGTGCTCTGCATGTGGGACATACTGGCTCGCAGGTGAGAACAGCACGCTCAATGCAACTGCGGCAAAAAACCTCGGTAAGCAACATGTATCTGGTGATCCTTGACAGGACACTTCGGATAGCCTTGATGGCCACGTGCCAAAAGCAAAACTATTCCGGCAGAAGTTTGCATTCTACCGAGCCTGCTGACAAGAACTGCAGGAAACAGGCTCTGCAAACCTCAGTGTAACATTGCAGCCATAGGACCATAGAAATGCACGGAAAACAATAATGCAACTGAAGACTAACCGACGAAACTGAAAACTCAACAACAAAGGTATCTGACCAACCTGTGATGAATGCTAGCAACACATCAGTGCAAATAGGGCATCGAAGAGTGGGAGAAACTGCATCCGGACGAGCAAGCTCATGGTCCTCTAAACCCATCCTTGGTTGCCAGCACAAGGCAAAGGCTAGCAGCAGGTGTTCCGCGCCCAAACTGCCGAAGAACTTTTCAATTCATTCAGAGCAGACAAAGCGACTTCAACCCTATGTTGCCTGATCGTTGCAGCTACTTGGTACGCCGACACAATTGGAATCCCCCAGAAGTGATCAAAGCATTGCTGTTTTGAGCGTGTGTTCTGCCTTGTTGAGCTTAATCTGCGATGTATTGCTCTTTCTCTGAGTCTGGAATGTTCGTGGGTCCATTGAATTTAAGACTTTGAAAGCCATCTTTGATCATGTTTGCGTTCTCCCAGCCTTTGGTCAGGCAAAATACGCGTCAGCAGTGGAAGATTGCAGAAACGACTTCCACGGATGAATGACCAGAAGCAATGCCACGGCAGCATTCAACAACTAAAACAAACAACGAAGGAGTCCCACTTCAGTGCAAGCTCGTGGTTTTCCGACCGCTGCCGCACGAATGTCCACAAGTTTCGAACTTCGAGCGTGCCACAAATCTAGACAGTGTCTCATGGCCTTGTAGCAGAACTTACGAATCAACTCCCAATGTCCCAGCTGTGCTTCCGGCTATCATGGAGAGAATCACAGAATATCACAGAATCTATCAGTCTATCTATCAGTCTATCAGAGTCTATCAATTCAATTCATACCACACAAGTCTCCACCGTCTCCACCAGAGACAGCAACAATGGAAGCCACCTTGCTGATCGTCTGAATCGTCTGAGCTATGCACCGTTGCAAGGCTCTGGTGACTCTGGTAGCTTCGTGAGGAAGCACTGAATGCACTGAGGATCTTGCCTTGCAGTGCGGCAGTGCAAAGGCAAGTACCGCAAGTACTACCTTACTACGTCTAGTAACTTCCTAATTTCAATGGGAATTTCAGGATCCTAAAATAGAGGTACTCTACCATATAAAGCCATATTTTGGGGTATATCCCCTTACATAGCCCTTACATAGGCCTTATACAGTATATATGGTAGGTACCTCCATTTTAGGTTCCTGAAATGGCCATTGATAATTGGAGGCCCCCAGTTTCTGCTTCTACCAAGCTGAGTTCTTGCTTGCGCCTTTAGGATCCTTTGGGTGTCAAAATTACCTGGTGCCCATAATCATGATGTGGTAGTTTTTGCCGTGCCATAACCACCTTTGTTTCTTCGCCGCAGCTTTGAGGCCTCTGTTTGTCGATGGTTTCCATCGTCGGTGAAAAATCCAAACACCTGAGCGATTCAGAAGCCACCTTGAAACAAAGCCTTCCATACAGCGACATCGGCAGCTAATTACTCAGCCCATCAGGGTGATTCAGGATGCACAAGCACTTGAAAGGATTGTATGCTTGGAGCCAGATGCTCAACCTGGCCGTTACACCTACATGACCCAAATAGCTTCACAAGCGTCAGCAAGCAATTCTGAGACAGTGACTGATGTTCTGATGTTGTCAAAGAAACTCACTATGGCCTCCCCGCCATCGTAGCCACTGTCCGTGCTGTCGAGGTAACTGCAACCGGGGTGATGCCAAACAAGCGAACTTTAGGTTGAAATCGCCAGTGGAACAATCTGAATGTGGGTCAGTGTTTCACGCGGCAACATTTAAGCATACCTTCTTGTCTTGTCTTCATGTCTATCTTAGATATCTTAGTGTCTTAGCGCTAAGGGGACAATTGGTAGACCAATTTATCTTGAGAAAAGAGATTTCGGATGGTTTATGCAAGCCATTTCCATCATGTCTATTCATTTCTGGAAATAAACTGGTTCACTTTACAGCAGATATTCGCCTACCCAATGTGAGAATATGCTGGGCCCACTGCAACCGCGGCCGGGTGAGGTGCGGGCTCCAACGTATCGGCCCCCGTGGCTGCCAACGTGTTGATCCACGGGGGAAGGCGCGCAACACCTGCATAGCATGGCATGGCATGTGCCATGATCCCTGGCTCTTATCCGAAAAAGAATTTGTGAGTCCTTGGGCCCTTGGGGGTCCTCTTCCAAGCTATGGAAGGAAGAAAAGTGATGAACGT